TTTTGCTTTGGTCTAAATGTTAAGATCTTTTGTTGACAACTGTAGCTGGGTTCTAGAAATTTCTTAAAAAAGTGTATGACCTTAAATGCCACACACACTATATAGCTAGCAACTTGGAACTCACTAAAATTAACAATTTTACTCATTGGGTAGTTCGGGCTGCTTATCTTTCCGCTACCAGAGAAAAAAGTTCCTTCTTGACAGTTCCACAAGCTCAACTAAAAGTTGCCTTTTGAAAACTTTTAAAGAAGCACTTAAGCTGGTTAGCTAAAATGGTTTAACTTTTTTAATGTCATCTCGTGAGACCTTCTTGGAGTGTCTATATGACACTTTGACAAATCCTTTCTTTTAAAAGTGCTTCAACAACCAACTTCACTAGACCTTTTCTCTCTTTCTTTTTGGATAGTGTGACTTTAAATCCAACAAACACACAAGCAACTTGGAACTCACTAAAATTTACCAATAAAAGTTCTTTTTCTTCAGTTCCACAAACTCAACTAAAATTTGCCTTTTGAAAACTTTTTAAGAAGCACTAGCTGGTGAGCTAAAATGGTTTAATTTTTTTAATGTCATCTCGTGAGACCTTTTTGGAGTGTCCATTTAACACTTTGACAAATCCTTTCTCTACAAGTGCTTCAGCAACTATCTTCACTAGATCGTTCTTCTCTTTCTTTTTTGTTGTAATTTTAAGAGCTTTTGCTGAAGACTGCAGCTGGGTTCGTGAAATTTGAGATATTTGAATTGCATTAAAGGCCACGCACACAACCAACTTGGCAGTATCCTCATCAAGATCTACGAAAGATTACAAACTCCTCTGAAACAATTTCATTACATTTGGGGGGCAAATGTTTTTTTGGGGGCATGCAGATATATTTTACAGTGTAATGCATACCCTCGTTTTCATCGGATTCTTCTACACTTTCTGTGTCTCCAGAGTTATTTGTCTCTTCAGAGTCTCCAATCTCTTCATGATCAGCACTTGATCCACTAGCTGAACTTGAGCTACCAATATCATTATCAGTACTAGTGCTGTCAGAACTTGTTCCTTGATCCACTTTCCTTTTAAGAGTCCGTTTATCCGGCTGCAATGTCAAAAAAATCATGTAAATGGTTGTACAGAAACATGAGCTGTTTTTTTTTTTCATCATAATTTGTTAACTTATATGGGTTTAAGTTAGTAGCAATATGTTCATTTAGATGTTCTTTGTTGTAAAGCAAACAAAATATTTTCCGTAGGTTCGAGCTCCTTCCAAATTAAGGTCTGCATGCATGAATAAGAAATAATTGGTCAATATATAAAAATTAATGTTATTGACATTAAGCTCACCTGAGAATAGTCATGTCCTTTCCTTTTATGTCTCCTTCTTTCATTAAGAACGTCTAAGATATGTTGTTTGATACCCTCTTTGCCAAAGTTTAAAGGTGGAAACGAGCAATCCTCCTTGAGGTCATTAACAAGATCATTCAACTCGTCAACAGCGACCTTGTTCTTCTTAAAATTCGGGATGTCATTCCCAGGCCATCTATTAATTGCCGCAGTTCTGATAGCTTTTCTCCTAATAAGGAAACGGATTTAAAAAAATTGTGGAAATTTATATCCAATATTTAAGACAACCATTCATACATAGATTTATTAAATTGTGACGGTTTGAAATACAAATACTTCCTCCTTGTTCGAGAAACTACTGCTACATTATGCATTTAAATTTGTTTTTAAACACTTCGAGCAAATGCAATCGGTTGAAAAATTTCTGTAATGAAGTTAGAAAATACAGTAAAAAAGGACACATTCCTGACAGTTACTTACTTGGTCTTGTAAATTCTTCGTGCAGTTTCACTTATTTGCAGCAGCTGCGCTTTGGAGGGCTTTTTGGGTTTGATTGTCGTCACTTCAAAACCAGTGGACCCGCTCTCGGCAGAACTATTGACCACGGAGCTTAATTTTAGCTGGTCGGCAACTGTAAGAAGGCCGCAGGCTTCGTACTGTTCTTGGGATGCACGTTTAGAGAGAAGGACCAAGGTTTTTCCATCAACCTTTTGGGCTGTTTGCATAAAATCAAAACGAGCAGTGAGAAAAATTGTTTAAGCTTAAATTGTATGAACACATCTGAAAAGTTATGTACCCTACACAATGTATTCGATGCAACAAGCTGCACAATTACGTGATGTCCACTTTCATAACTCTGGGAAACCTTACCAACTCATAAAGAACATCTCCATTTTCAACAAGAATTCTGCATATGATATATTATTTCCTGCTTTTCGAACATATTTGAAAATTGGAAAAGTGTCATAATCGATGGAAAATTATTGGGGAAGTTCATTGGGGACATTTTTAACGTACAATTATTTCGCGCCAAAACCAAACTAGTATCAACCTGTATCAACGCAATGCAAAATCAGTTCCCGAAATGACAAATTCTGTGTTCACTGTGAGAAATTGTTAAAAATCCTTCCAGCTTTATCACGGTAAGTTAAAATAGTATAACAGACAATAAATAAAGGGAATTTAGGCCATTTCAATTCACTGTAAAATACATGTGTAAGATTCAGTGACGAAATCTACAAATCGATTCTGACACTTGTTGAACGTACCTTCGAACTTTTCCGCTACTTCAGTATTGAAGTGCTTTTCTATTAAAATGAACACTTCACGAACATCCATTTCTTCCACTGGTTTTTCGGCGTTCATTATGTCACGATTTATTCGTAGAACTAAAGACCTAATAGCTTCCCAATTTGTATAACAGCCCTCGACATCAATCGACAGAAAGACAGAAGTAGTCTTCGCAGCGCGCCCTGCTAAACAATGTACAGCGGGGAGTTACGCGGGGGGGGGGGGGGGATTGACATACTGCGACATGATTGGCTGGTCGTGGATATGCAGGGATGTGATTGGTGCAAGAAATCGTTGCGCGGGAAATTTGGCGCTTTGTGATTTTCGCTCGATTTTTTCGCACTCAAAATCATGGAAGCTGATAGTAATAAAAGACGACGAATTGATGATGAGGCTGTTGCTTGGACGAGAGATGATATCGTCTGCTAAAACTGTTCAGAGCTAAAATCCAGACATGTACATTGTCCTTGTTCCAAGTGTAATGGTGCTGCAGTTGCACGTTCAGTAGAGCATTCTCACTGGCAGCACGTTTAATTTTCAATCTTACATTAATGGTCTTTAACTGAAACTCCTCTAAAATTATAAAAAAAACAGTGATGGTTTTAGCCTTACACATTTATTTAATATAATTTATGCATGCAGCTTGGCTTACGTCATATATTCCATTTATGTAAAATAAATGGTTATTAGAGAACACAATTGATGGGAAATAGATAAACCAATAATGGTCCAGTGTCATATACATTCATGGTTTTATAAATTACATCAATGTTTTAAGTTCCTTGAAAGAAAACATTGATGTTTCCAATCTTACATTAATGGTTTTTAACTGAAGCTCTATCCCATTAATGGTTTAAATAATAAACCACTGATGGTTTTAGCCTTACACATTAATGGTTTAGGCTTATGTTATATTCCATTAATGTCAAATAGCATAACATGAATGGTTATTGGCGTACGCATTGATGGGAAATAAATATACCAATAATGGTCCTATGTTATACACATTCATGGTTTTTATAAATCACAATAATGTTTTAAGTTCCCTAAAATCCCATAAATGGATATCAATGTAAAACCATCCATGATTTTTCCCAGTATTAATGTTAATTGCTAAAAAAACACTTAAATTAAAAAAACACATTAATGTTATTTCAGTAGAAAAATTGGAAATCGCTCTTTTTCCCATTAATGTGTTTTTTCTAAAAATGGGAATTAGCAAAAAAACCTGGATGTTTTTTTGAAATTTTTTCCTGTGTATACCTGATAGCATCAATTGTTACTAAATTTCTGTCATTTCTGTAGTAACACACAGAGAAATTGTTGAAGATTTACTGAAAAGAAAACAAAAATAATTAGTTTAGAACCTCTAAACAATAAAACACAAATTTATTTTTTTTTAAATTTAATTCAAATATTTCAGGATATTTCTGTTCCTGTCATAGCACAAGTGAATGGTAGGTATAGGAATTCACATGAATGCTAGTGCATTTTGACATCTATGGGCAGGAATATTGGCGAGAAAGTTTTTGTTTCCTAGTCAATGTGCTCTCTTTATTTTTTGCATAATTCTTTGGTGATTGCTTACAGTATAGGAAGGGCCATGGGTTCAGAGCCACTTTAACCCTTTAACTCCCAAGAATCCATTAGTAATTCTCCCTACAGTCTGACATACAATTTATGTTATGTTAGTTTGGAGAATTTAAAATTGGATCAACCAACAATGCCCTAATTGATATATTTCTTTATTCTCATTACTTGTCTGCTTTCTATAGTGCTGATAGTGTAAGGAGAAATTCTGTCTTGGTCACCAGTGGGACTTAAAGGGTTAAATCATCAAAACAATAAGGTTGCTCTGAACCAACTGTATAGTACTCCGTATGAGTAAGAGGAACCTTACAGAATTGTGGTTGATTATACCAAGAAAATGGTTGATTAACTAAAGAAAAAATAAATGCATATATGCCTCCATGGTCATTAATCTTTTTGCTCTGCAGCTTTCACAGAGTAGTTTTTTGTAATTTATTGAAGGTTCATTTTTTATATAATTTACAGGACTTGCAACTGCCGCAGGATGCCAATTAGTAGCCAGTTGTGATATTGCAGTGGCCTCCTCTAATTCACAATTTGCTACACCAGGGTGAGTATGCACAGAAAAACAAGACTTCAAGGAGAAGAGACACTTTGTACAATATAGAAAATTGTAGAAAAATTGTAGAAAACACCACTTGTTCATGAAATAAACAGTATGGCTGCCAATCATTTTTGTAGGTTAGCCAAACATTTTATGGCTTGAAGCCAGATACATGTAACTAAAGAGACAAAGGCAAATTAAAAAAAAAAGGAGCATTATGTAATTATATTTTATGAAAATTCTTAATAATAGACCACAAACACTAAGAAATATAATTATTACAACCTGTTACTTGACCTATTTGAAGACAGGTCACTAAATTTGAAATGTCCAATATAGTTTTATACTCACCATGGTAACCAAAATGGTCACAGCTTGGAGTGTATTCCATAAACTATCTGAATACCTCAATTTGCTTGAGGTGCCTTCATGATCAAGGAAAACCAAGAACTGCATGCAAAGGCTACAAGACTATGTCTACATTGTCCATCTTCATCTATTAACCTACATCGCTTGTACATGAAATCAGCATGAATAACAAGGCTTGCAGAAATCTCATAAGTCTAAGAATTCATAGTTTTTGAAAGCCTTTATAAATCATTACATTGTTTTATTTTGTTGTTTGGTTGTTGTTTTTCACTTTTTAGTGTCAACATTGGGTTATTTTGTTCTACTCCTGGAGTTGCTTTGGCTCGTGCTGTACCTAGAAAAGTGGCATTAGAAATGTTATTTACTGGCAACCCTATTAGTGCAGATGGTAAAGACATTTTTCCTGGCTAGAGATATTTTAGGATTTTTAAGTGACAGTTGTATCTCTATTTAGTTCTTCTTCACTTGGTGTATCGAGAGAGAAGGATTAGGATAACATGGTTTAGATCCCTGCGATGTGAACATTCCCCCCCCCCCCCCTTCAGTAAGAACGTATCTATTTTGCGGCTGACGGCTAGTCGCACCAACAGCTCAGTCTACTGATGGAATGCTGGATCATATCAAACTAACAACCATATTGTGTTATTTTCCAATTTAACAGATGCTCTTAAGTCTGGCCTCCTTAGCAAGGTTGTACCTGAGGAAAAACTAGAAGAAGAAGTCAATGCGATTGCTACAAAGATTGCTTCATTAAGTCAGCCTGTTGTAGCTATGGGAAAGTCATGTTTCTACTCACAAACCATGAGAGGACGGGATCAAGCTTATGTGTGAGTTTTAGCTAAGAATGACAGAAATCTCAAAATTTCACGCGAAAATGTGGTGCTTGGCTAGTTGAAACTAATTTTTAGGGTTATTTAGCTACGAGGCCCATTAAGATATGTAATACTTACATTTTGAACGTCTATAATCTATTTATGTTGCTGCAACTTCATTGAATAATTCCAGTTTAGAGCGCCTCTCAAATGAGTTTTGTCAAAACGAAACCATGTATTTCCAATTGCCAACGAGAACAAAGGAAAATATCACCATAAACCAATAAGATCTCGAATTGAAAGCGAATCACTGCCGAAGAGCGGGAAAACGCAAATGAACAAGACGTCAATCGCTTAAGATTTGTATCTTGTTAGAGGAGGGAGTAACACTAACTTACTATACCAAATGATTAAGTGTACAGGAGCGCTTTTCATTTTACTGTCTAGAACTAGAAGTTAAATAATCTTAAAAGGAGAAAATGACCCTAGTGAGGCTTAAAACGGAATTTAGAGTCATAGCTTTTTTTTTCCTATTTTCACGTAGCTGTTAATTTTTGTTGCTTTTCAGAGAGGCGGAGGCAGTGATGGTTGAGAACCTGAAGCTTCGTGATGGGCAGGAAGGAATCAAGGCTTTTCTTCAAAAAAAGAAGCCATCTTGGACACACAACTGACTGTCATTAGCTGTAGTTCGTGTCTACACAATATTCAATTGCGTTGGTTTCGCTTTACTTCACTACGCTCTGTGATTGGTTAAAAAAAACTCACGCCATTCTCTTAACCAATCAGATGTAAAACCTAAATCAATCGGTGCCCGGTCACTCACGTTTCCCGCGCTTCGGGCAATGTTTGAACTCTATAATCTCATTCACTTCTTGTGACATGTCTCTTGTTCTGTTTGGCCGTTGGTATAATTGGGAAAAAACAAGGTAGGGGTTGTTCGTCAGTCCAGTGTTATACTTCAGCAGTCCAAAGAAAAAGGTACTTTATCCTCCCGGAGGAGAATTTTAATTGTTTGTTCACGTGAATTGACCTTCAAAGTATTACATTTGCGCACACGATTATTTATTTAAACTAATGTAACGTTTTTGCATATAACATTTAAAAACAAACTCAACGGATACAACGCACTAAATTGATGATGGCATGAGTCATGTCGAAACATGTCTGCAAAAGATTTTTCTCGTGAATTTGAAATTTGTTTTAAGAATAATAATTATTAATAAAATGCGATAATACAAATAAATTCCGAAATTCAAACCTGAACTCGCAGATGTGCAACATAGGTTTCTCATAGCTGAGCACTTGCAATTATCCAGGAATTGCCAGAAAGGTGTAATCATAACTTAAGAAGGAAGTTTTTCCACGCAATAACAAGTGCATACAACGTTGACAAAAGGGAAACCTAAGTTTTCGCCACGACGTAAAATCCACGAAAAGCAATGGTTAAAATAACTCTTTCAATTGAGAGGATTTACCTTCTTCGTCAGTAACAGCACTTTCTTATTTCCCTACCCACTCTGCGAGTTAAATATACCTGTCCCTTCCAAAAAGGTTGAGCATCTTCAAACAGTCGTCAACAAGACTCTCTTCTGCCCAACGACTAATCTTTCTCGTCGTGATGTCACAAACTAGAAATTTGCGCGCGCTTGTATTAACCAATAAGATTCATAATTGATTTCTGACGTCAACGAGAGGATATCTCCCAACCTCTTTCCCAAGGTCCTCTCCTCATGCCTCGACTCAGTGGTAAAAGCAAGTTCAATAATCGTTGGGAAATGCATATATATAGTCAAATAGATCATTTAGTCGACATGAAGAAAAGTCGAGCAAACCAAAAACATCACAGAATTTCAGGTCCTATTTACAACTACTAGTTTCAGTAGTGTTCTTAGCTGCGAGGATCTTCTAATTTCATCTCTCCACCGCAGTGCAAATATGTGAATTTTCATATATCTAAATTACATCACAGAATGTTAAAGAGGAAGTAGAGGGGTATTTCTGTTACACTTGACTTCTGCAGCGACTGAACTTGACCTCTTCCAAAATGATTTTAGCGCGGACGTGTTAGCTGGAAGAGAAGATTAAGTAACATTCGCTAAAGCAGAAAGAAGGACGTGTACATGTAGGCACAAACTGAAGAGAGATTTTTGAAAACTGGTTTTAACGTTTTCATTTAGTAGTCAAACCCATTCAAAACCAAGTTTAGGATACCAAGTATAGTAAATATAGTAAGGCTCTTCTTTATAAGTTTATAAGAAGGCTCTCTGAAATGAAATAACACAAGGTGACCCTGTTAGCTTCGAGAACGTGCCTCATCTGTTGTGACCACGTGAACATGCTGCTTTTACTTCCTGGTAATGAGTAAATATAAATGAGAGGCGATTTCGTTCAAGACAAGGAACAAGATTAGTTTCGAAAAGATACAGCGAAGACTAAGGAAGGATTCTCCCCTCGATTGAACGAGTTTAAACATGGTAAGATTTTTTTTTTCCATAATTAACTTATACGCCTCTTTTTCCAAACCTTCTAAAAAATCTTCCGAATTTTACGGAAAGTGCAGATGCCATTCATTTGCTGCTAAGCCATAAAAGCAGGCTTATTGTTCGACATCTTCGCAAATATAGCATTAATATCATCTGATGTGCTTTAGCTTTTTCTTTCAGGGTTGTTCAATAATCATAACAGCTGTTGCTTTTCTTCTTTGCCTTTCATATTCAAGTGCATCACCGGTGAGTTTTACAAATTGTGAGCGATTAAGAATTCTGTTGCATTTTGATAGTGACTCTGGTGGAAATCCGCCAGCGTAACAGTTCTTTGTTTTTACTGAGATTTTTAAACGATTTCCCGGTTTGAGCAATATCCCTAAGCTAAACCTTTCAGAGAAAAGTTTTGTAAGAGTGAACGCACAGTCGTTCTTAGGCATAGACGATAGAGGATGGTGACTGGGCATGCTTAATTAATTTTATAACTCAAATATTGATTTGGACTTCGGGCACAAATTGCGTGTCATAAAAATTTGCAACAGAAGCCAGGGAAAGCTGGTTACACTGATGAAGACATTTCCGTATTTTAGATCTGAATCGCCCTTACGATCTGTGATTCTCCTCCTGTTTGCATTGCCCTTTTTGGCTTTTTATCTCAATTACCCTCTGAAATACGCAGCTCTTTCTTGTTCTCTTTCAAAAACACTTTTTTTATGCTTCTGCAAGTGATATTGGTTTTTTCACCTCGCCACTCAACTACATTTAGACATTTTTGAAATTCTAATTTTTATGGAGTACCTTAATGAATGTTTCTATTTTTGCGCTGATTTAGTTGCTTGGTATGGAAATAAGAGTTACGTGATTTATTCTTTAAATTATCACAGTTCTAATAATAGTAAACACTTCTTCCAAGGCTTTTATCCCAAAAAGCCAGTGACAATAGAATTTCTAGCTTGAAAAATCCTGAAAGTATACATTGTGAAAAAGTTCAGGACGCACGGTTCTTACAGTCACCAATCCCAGCACGGCCACTGTCTAATAATAGCCATGATAAGATAAATTTGTCTACATCTACTGACTGAGATTTGATGGATGAGTTCTTACGTACTCTGTTCTGCCATTCGCAAAGCCTTTGGAACATAACAATGCATGCTTTTCCTTAACAGAGGTTATCACAGAACCCTCCACCTTGCATTCTGAATCTTTATGATCCATCAATACTAGGGTTTTGAGCGAGCCCTCCCTCACTCCATCACTGATTATCGTACTAAATTTTTACAGGTTTCTGACAGGATCTCTGCCAACCTTGAAGTGCATAGGCGCATAGGTAAATAACATAATTTTTGAGATGATTAAAATGTAAAAGTAAAGTTATTTATCTGATGCAGTCAGTTGTAATAACCCAGGAGAAACAGATGTTTATTAACAAGGTAAAGTCTGATCGCTTGTGTGAGAGTATAGTCCTCAAAGGACTATTTTTATGAGCATTGTACAGTAATCATGTCGTTTCCTTAATTAACCGCCACCCACCCCATGTTCTTTGGATTATGAATTTTTTTATCCTTAATTTTTGAATTATTCTTTTTTCAATGTTTTTTTTTTTGTAATGAGGATATGTAATTACTTGTTCATTTGTATACTTACCAATTATTTTATATATGTAATGATATTTATTTATCATATATCTAATAAGTAACCCGGTAGACATTGTTGTTTCCTTCATTTCTAACAGCCAGAGGCTTTCCTGGATTAAAGCTTTGCGGCGGAGGAATGCCAACTAATTGCTGGGCCCATGAGTGGAAATATCGATGCTCCTTTGATAACTACTGGTTAAATTGCAAAGTCAACCTTAGCGGGCCTAAATTGGACTGTCCTGTTTATCGTCACTTTTATTATGGCAGTCTGAAATGCTGTTACGTTAAGTGCCCTTAGATAATTGTGTTAGGACGTTGTACAATTTTGTTATTTTACTTAAAATAATCAAGTTTCGACACAATACTCAATTCCTTAAATTGTATTTTATCTATGTTTCAGTTTGTTATCATCCCAAGTTAAAAAAACAAGCCTGAGTGGCTTTGGAAAAGGATAAAGTAGAATAGTATAATATAATAGAATAGTAGAATATATGATCTTAGCGCCATGTATCGCCCCTCCATCCATTTTAAATATGTAGGCCGACCATGAAAGCCCACAAACTATCGCTGTGCATCTTCATATTGTGTTGTAGTAAACGGATTGAAATTAAAATTGTACACGATTGAAAACTTGTTTACTGGTTTTTCTTTGCGCTTTTTTCGACTTCGTTTTCAATATCTATTCTATATGGAGAGATGTCAGTTCCAATTTTTGTATTTTTTACGATGTCAGAGTCTCTATATAACAGAAAGGATAGGTTGAAAAAATCTGGACTCTAGGTTCATCTCGGTTGCAGTTGCAGTTTATTTTATGCGTCTTTTTCTTTTTTATTTATTTAAAACCGCTCGTAACCGTTTGACGAAAAAATATAACTTTAAAACTATGCTTCGATTAAATTCTTTCTTCTTTGAGGAAACTTTACAAAATGCAACAACCGGGTAAGGGTGGGACAAGCCTTTTTTTAGGATATCCACTCCAGACCCCTCTCTATTCAGAGTAAGCAGCGCATCCCTAGAAAAGGCTGCTTGGTGGCCTGGGTAAGCCGAATGATCGAATGATGTTATTGTCTCTGTTAACAAGCAAGCGACCACGTTACGCCAGACCACCTACATGCAGAGTTATAACTGCGACTTCAGTGCCATCCAGCACCTGTCGTTTTCGTCATGCTCCATCGCTGTAGGTCTTTCCTTCCCGCCTGCGCTCCGTACGTTTAAAGTGAGGACCAGCTCGCGCGCGCCAATCCCACTCTTTAGGCCCAGGGAAGATTTAGAGCGGCTCGACAGGCTGAGACGGCTGTAAGATCCGTATGGTTGTAGTTTTTACATCAGAGGTGGTATCCCCCATCTTCTGGCTTAAGAGCCCGCTGTCGGAAGAATGATGTCTATTTACCCATAGCTGGAGCACGGTCTCTCTGTCATGTCCTTGAACCTAGGGTCATTGCACGACTGAACTGTCCATTACACCTGGTTCGGGACTCGTTATTCACTGGCAAGCCAACTTACTCAGAGCTAACCTTCACTGAAGGCCTTTCACTATCCGCCACCTGTGACCCGCTAGGTTTGGGATGGTCGCCACGGATTTGCTCAGAGTCCCTGTCTTAGTCTAATGCTTTTAAAATAAATGCATATTGTTTGATTTCCACAGTCCTGGTGTGTTATCCAATATAATTTTCCTGCTCCACCTCGGTTCAGCGCTGTCTCTTTCTCTAGAACTTTGCTGAAATCAACCAAAAAAATAAAGATTGCGTTACATATGTCACGTTACCTAATTTACATCAAGCCTCGCTTTGACTATCACTTCTCAGAAAGAAAGCGGAAGTGTTGTCCTCAATCTTCGAGGAAGGGATACCAAGCTTTCATTCGGCTGTAAGATTTGTTTTGCTGTCTTCCTCAGTTCTTTCGATTGGCAAATTAATTACAGGTTCGATTGTTTTCTCGGAAAGGGAGGTTTCAATCTGGATGAGTGCCCAGCGCTGCTGAGGTAAGCGATTTGATATATCGCAGAAACATAGAACATATAAACAGAATTTCGCCATTGCTTGACCGGATTACACCAAAGTTTACAGCGTTTTGCTGGATTTATGCTTGTATCTCCGTACAGAAACTATATATACATATATTCTTAATAATTCATTGCTTCTTGTTAGATTTTTCATATCGTTGAGCTTCAATCGTTATGATTTATTCCCTGCTTCTCGCACAACGGGAATAAGTGGCAACGTTTTCGATGCACGCCACGTTTCGGTTGTTCATAGGATTTGCTCAAATAAATAAACTTAACGATCAAGTGATCATTTGGTTAAGTTTACATTCGGTTGATAACCATAATTTTCGCGTAGAAATCAAAGTTTAAGTTCCCTGGCTCGAAACTTTCATCTGAAAGAAAGGAGAAGTAGAATTATCTGTGTACTCGTTGCTGCATTTAGTTCTTCACTCATACATGAATGCATGTTTCGAGCCTTTATACCGTTAAATATCTCTGTTTGAAGCCCGCGAAATATTAACAGAATCTACCGTGAGGGTACTTAACTTAAGTTCGGAAAGGCTTCAGTGGAGATTATTTCGAAAGGAACAACTCTAAATTTCAATAGTTTTGATACACTCCTTGAATAACGTGACATGAAATACTATTTCTTTTCCTTTGATGTAATTCCGTATTGATGAGGGCTTATATTTTCGACTACAGTAAGTAATTTTTGTCAGTCCAGGAGATTAAGCTCGACAGGTTTATGGTTAATGGTGTAATTTTTCCAAATGAATTTTTTATAAAATGAAGTTCATTGAAAGTGAAAACAGTCGAGACGGGAGTAACCTAAGGGAAAACCCCTTCAAATGATCTCATCTTGTCAGTCATTTTTAATATATTCACAGAGACTCGCGTTGCGCTTAAAAACGTCAGGAACATGGAAATTTCCCGGAACATTCCGTAACATCAATAACATGTAAGAACTATGAGATAAATACGTATAATTAATTAATTCAGCGACTGAAAAAGGGAAATGAACTAATCAATTGATTGGTGGCTAAATAAGTTAAAGAAAAACAAATGTAGAGATAAAATCGTATTAACTCGGAATTTGCATACAACAAAAATGCAAACGACTTCAATGAGTGAAGTTTGTTTGTTGATATGTTTAGAGAGAGGTTTTTGCTTTTTCGTTTGTCGATGGGAAGTGTATCCATCACTGAGGGAAAATAAACCCCCTCCCCTCTATGAGACATTTTTATTTTGTCATAACATACAAATCTTTAGTACGCAGCTTTGTGGAAAGCAAATCTTTACAGCATATATATATATTTCCAGTTTTAGATATTCCATTGAATGGTCCTTCTCACACCCTGAAGACGAACAGGCTGACACACCAGGAATAGCAACAGTACAGCCTAGGATCTGAGGAATCCAGGATGGAAGGTAAGTTGTTATCCACAACAAGAACTAATATAAGTAGCGGTCCAAATATTTGCTATTTTAAGCACTGTTTAGCATAAGCCTCTGACTTAGTACAGATTATTCAAATGATGGCTTGATGCCTAAAGTTTTTCTTGGAAACGGAATGGAACAAATACCTAATGAGAACACAAATGATGGTAAATTGTAAGCCAGGTCATCGAAAGAGCCTTTTTTTTTTCATTGAACCATCTCTCTCTTATTCATTAGCGTACCGAACGCTTTTGACAATGCTAATCCTAGAAGTGTTTAGAAACTTTGTCACGCATGAAACCCAATAACCTGAATGGCCCTTCTCACCATAGAGTCTCTGTAGCTTAGTGGTAGAGCATCAGAGCAGAGAAACTTAAGGGCTTGAGCTGTGATTCCTCGTGAGGGACCCTGTTTGTTTTTTCGTCGCATGCTCGTGACTAGTAGAATAAGATATTTCTTTACCTACTTAATAAATGCTTGACGAGTTTTGACTATTTACCCGACATGAAAGGTTAAAACTGTAACAAACCTATACCAATTTTGGTCGATTACTTTTATGTGCCTGTACTAATATCAGAAACTCGAACAAAATCGAGCGATTACCTTACATGTATTTCCTTAACGATGTCATTTCTTCTTAAAGAAAATGACAAAAGCAAGAGCTCCCCGGAAAATGATCAAGAGAAGGACAAAGAAAGTGCTAACTCGACAGACGAGAAGCGTCTTCAGGGTAACTCTTTCGCATACCGGTCTGAACGAGACACATGGCAGGTGGTTGGGCGAGGTCAGCGTTCCATACCACAGAGGGAAGTCGGTAAGAATTACACTTCTTGATTGAAGTCAGACGGCAGTTTTTTTTCAAGACTTTTTCATGGCCAAATATGGCTCAGTAGGGGCTAATTAAGCCCCAGTTCTCGTTGCAGTCACATTGCTTTGTGTGCGCGTCCATGCACTTTTGAACGCTAAGGCAACGGTTTTGGTGACAATTCGGAGATTGATAACCAGATAATCGAACTGAGTTACACTTGACCTTAAAATTCAGTTCTTTTGATCCACATTACCAAAATTCTGACTTCTGCGTCCTAAAAGCTGCTTTTGCACCAAAACTTTTCTTTATTTGATATTTAATTCATGTCGCGTACAGCTTGAAGCTTATAGCACAGTCAAAAAACTTGCTCTTGCCCTCATGAAGGACCAAGCCTAAAACGTTTGCCACCAATTAAAACATGACAACTTTTCAGCTTCATTCATTCCCCTTAATAAAATTATTATGTTGTATTTCACCACAAGAGCAAAGAGGTGGAGGCTGTAGAAAGATGAATGCAAAGGGGACGCCTCGTGGAAAACCTTCCCCAAGAGTTCAGACACATCGACCAGATACTCAACAGAGGGATGGTAATAAGGGGGCGTTTTCAGCGCGTGGCGACCGCGGCCGAGGGAGTAGGGGAAAAAGAGGACAGGGTTTGGGTGCTTTTCGAGGAGGACATCAAGGGAGAGGAGCTCGAGGTAGGACACCATGCTGCCATTGTTAATTTCTGAGTGAAACATATTATCGTCACACTAGACATTTTCATCACAGCTTCGAGCGCTGGGTTGGGTTGATTTGATGAGTTCTTGGTCTAGACTCTGCCGGGTGGGGCCATCCCACTACGAACTCATTCTTGGGAAAAGAAATTCCTTTGGGTAAAACAAAAAAAACATGCTTATGTCTTTCCATCTGTTTTAACTTTTTTCAATGTTGTTTTGTTACAGGGCCTGGTCATCAAGCCGGCGCA